AGGCAAGGACTTCATGACCAAAACACCAAAAGCATTGGCAACAAAAGCCAAAATAGACAAAGGGGACCTAATCAAACTCCACAGCTTCTGCACAGCAAAAGAAACAGTCATTAGAGTGAATTGGCAACCAACAGACCGGGAAAAAATTTTTGCAATCTACCCATCTGACAAAGGGCTGATATCCAGAATCTACAAAGAACTAAAACAGATGTACAAGAAAAAAACAAATAACCCCATTCAAAAGTGGGCAAAGGATACAAACAGACACTTTACAAAAGAAGACATACACGAGGCCAACAAACATAGGAAAAAATGCTCATCATCACTGGTCATTAGAGAAATGCAAATCAAAACTACATTGAGATACTATCTCATGCCAGTTAGAACAGCGATCATTAAAAAATCTGGAGACAACAGATGCTAGAGAGGATGTGGAGAAATAGGAACACTTTTACACTGTTGGTGGGAGTGTAAGTTGATTCAACCATTGTGGAAGACAGTGTGGCGATTCCTCAAGGACCTAGAAATAGAAATTCCATTTGACCCAGCAATCCCATTACTGGGTATATATCCAAAAGATCATAAATTGTTCTACTATAAGGACACACGCACACGAATGTTCATTGCAGCATTGTTTACAATAGCAAAGACCTGGAACCAACGAGGCGCCAAGCTGGAGAGCAGTGGCGCGATGTCAGCTCACTGCAACCTCCGCCTCCCGGATTCAAGCAATTCTTCTGCTTCAGCCTCCCGAGTAGCTGGGACTACAGGCGTGCACCACCATGCCCAGCTAATTTTTGTATTTTTTTAGTAGAGACGGGGTTTCACCATGTTGGCCTGAATGGTCTCGATCTCTTCACCCCGTGATCCACCCACCTTCGCCTCCCAAAGTGCTGGGATTACAGGCATGAGCCACCACGCCCAGCACATAAAGTATTTTTAATGCAGCTCAAGGGGGTGGGGAGAAAGGAGGAAAACAGCATTTGTTCAGGGCTTACCATGGGCCGGGAACAGTTCTAAATGCTTTACAGACACCTAATTTATTACTACCAACAAATTTATGAGGTGGATATTATTCCTATTTTACAGATGAGAAAGGCTCAGAAAACTTAATTCGCCAAAAACAAAGGGTGGAGCTGAGATTCAAATTAAAATCAGTCTGCCTTCAAAGCTGATTATTTCTCCCACAAACACAACCTTCCAAATCATATTAAAAACTGACTCTGATTGATTAAAAATACTAATTCTTATAGTGGATATCATTCTTCAGTAAGTGGCATAAATCAATCTGAATCCAACAAACTTTGAGGAAAAATCATAGTTAAGCAAAATAATACAAGGGACAGAACACCAGTATAGGCCTGAGTGGGACAGCGTAAGACTACCAACATTAGGTCAGAAAACTTAATCCCAGATCTACCACTCACCAGCTGGTGATCTACGGCAAGTAACCTTTTGAGTCCCGGTTTCCCCATTCATAAAATAAGTATTACTCCTAGCCCATCCATCCTTCTACCACAGATTGTTTATGAAGATGAAAAGTTAATGATGAAATTAATCCATAAACTAAGACAAACTATAATTCATATAAGGAATTAGTATCTGTTCGGTAAAATGACTACTAGTGAATAGCTATTTTCATGGAAAGTAACTTGTCACAAACAGAATAAGCAATGCAGTCCACTAGCAACAGGAAGCTGCTCACCAACCGGCGGCTCCATCTCAGCGGGAGCCCCTTGTCAGTTGCTTTAGAGGACCAATTTTCTGCCAGCTTTCTAACAATCTGTTCCTCCCTGGTGCCGTTCCCACGAACGCGACTGAAAAACGGTGTAGGGGAAAGGCGCAAAGGAAGTGCGGGAAAAAGAGCGGTAACGGAGGCTGGGTCCCACCACTCCCAGGTGCGAAGGGCTCTTCGCCCCTCCAGGCCTCGGCGCACCCATCTGGAAGACGGAGAGACCATTCCCGCCCTGTCTCCTGCGCAGAGCTAACATCAGAGTCTCGGCGCAAGGAAAGCATGGTAAACCCTGCTGGGATTGAGAGATGACGATGGCGGTCACCTGTCAAATGAAGGGAGGCTCCCCCCGGAACCCCTAGCATTTCAACATTCCAAAAGCCTCGTCACCCGCGGCCGGGGCACCCCGCACTCACCCCTCGGACCGCGTGGTGTGCGGGATCCGACGTCCCTCGCACCCCTACCGAGCCCTCAGCGCAGCCCTGACGCTGCTCACCCCCGCCCCAGCCCCGAGGCCGACCCCTGAGCCCTCCCCAGGCGACTGCCGCTCCCCTCCCCCAGCAACGATCCCTGCCCCGCTCCGCCCGCACTCCCAGGTGAGGGGAAGAGGGTGAAAGGGCGTACCCCGCCGCCATTTTGTCCCCTGGTCCCCGCAAGCATTGAGACATCCCGCGCCCCAGCCCGGCCCCGCCCGGGTCTGCGCGACGCACGCCCCTCGCGGACACTCACCGCCGGCCGCCCTGCGCAGTTCGGGGCGGCTCCGAGCGTCCCGGCGGGAAAGGGGCGGGGCGGGGCGGGGCGGCCTCGGAGAGGCGGGGCGGCTGCCCGGCACACCACGTGACCCTCAGTCGCTGCCGCGGCGCTACCGCCGCAAGCTCCGTGTCGCCCACGCGCAGGCGCACCCGGGTTCGCGCCGCCGGGGCGCCCAGGCGGGCGGTCCGAGGGTTGATTTGGTGAATTTTCTCCGAAGCTGTTTCTTTTCCTAGGTTAAGCTCACAGAGCCGCTTTTAGCCACACAGGTCCTTTTCGTACTCAATCTCTTCCCTCTGCCGGCCTTATCGCCACAGTGAATCCAGAGATTAAGGATTTAGGCGCCTCACGGCAATCTGTGCTGGTGAAAGCACTTGACAGGCGCACGCCCGGCCGCGCCGAGCGCAGCTAGGCCGCCGGGAAGCTTTATCGGGACCTCCTGCGTGCCAGGCTTGGAAGGTCGAAGTACAGAGACCTAACGAATACGTTTCATCTACTTCAAAGACAAACACGTGATGAATTAAATACTTTAACATTTAAATCAGTCTGAACAAACTAGAAAAGAGATTCAGTGCAGACCATAATTATCAATCAAATATTCCTGCCCCTTTTCATCCAGCTGGGAAACAGCTCGTTCCCTTCCCTCTCACCCGCGGTAGGCGGAAGTCCTGGACTCACAGGCGCTGCTGGGGCAGGAACCATATGGTTGGCTAAGTTCTGGCTCCCCTCCTCTGTCGCCTTCTTAGAAAACTCGCTGTTTCATTTATTCAGCAAACATTTACTGAGCACATACTATATATCAGACGGTATTCTAGATGCTTGGAGTGAGCAAAATAAACAGCAATCTCTAAAAAACCTCCGACTTGGAGCAGGGTGAAACCAGGCAAGTGTTAGATAACCAAGTTTAGGCCGGGCGCGGTGGCTCACGCCTGTAATCCCAGCACTTTGGGAGGCCGAGGCGGGCGGATCACGAAGTCAAGAGATCCAGACCGTCCTGGCCGACATAATGAAACCCTGTCTCTGCTAAAAATACAAAGATTAGCTGGACGTAGGCTGAGGAGGGAGAATTGCTGGAACCCGGGAGGCGGAGTTTGCAGTGAGCCGAGATTGCATCACTGCCCTCCAGCCTGGCGACAGAGCGCGACTCTGTCTCAAATAATAATAATTCAAATCATCATCATCATCATCAAGTTTAGCCAAAAGCTGTGTCCTTACATATTTTAAGTTCAGCCTGAAGGTTTCTCCGTAAATAGTGAAGTATAACCCAGATGGAGGTATAAACAGATTGCAACCTACTTTTGGGTCAATCACCAAATTTTGGCCAAAGGCGGCCAACTGTTCAAACCATGTTCAAATAAGGTAAACGTCTAGCTATAACCAATCCGCTGCTTCCCTGCCTCACCTTCCTTTCTCTGTCTATAAACGTTTTTCCACCATGTGTGGGCCTACTTTGCCTGAGGAGGCTGCCTGATTAGGGAATCGTTCTTTGCTCAGTTAAATGCTGTTTACTTGGACTAAGGTTTTGCTTTTAACACAAGAAATAGTAAACACAATAAATAAGTAAATTACGTAAGATGTTAAGCACTACAGTAAACAAAATGAGTAGGATAAGGGGGATGGAGTAGGGAACATACTATAATTTCATAAAGGATGGTCAGGGCCTAATTTGTTAGTTACCCCCTCTTCCTTTCATATCCATAAGCATATAAACAACCTCAAGTCTCTTCCATCTTGAAATCTCCCACCCAACCTACCAGACTCCACTTCAACCTCTGCTTTCTTTCCTGTAATACATTTCTCCAATTATCTAAACAAGAGTGCCTGCAATTCCTCAGCCACTACTCAAGTCTGGACTTAACTGCACTCTGGTGTCTGCCCCACCACCCCACCGAAGCCATTCTTTCTAAAGTCACTAGGGGCCAGCGCTGTGGCTCATGCCTGTAATCCCAGCACATTGGGAGGCTGAGGCGGGCAGATCACCTGAGGTCAAGAGTTCAAGACCAGCCTACCCAAAGTGAAAACCCCGTCTTTACTAAAAATACAAACAAATTAACCAGGTGTGGTGGCACCCACCTGTAGTCCCAATTACCTGAGAGGCTGAGGCATGAGAATCCCTTGAACCCAGGTAACAGAGGTTTCAGTGAGCTGAGATCACACCACTGCACTCCAGACTGGGTGACAGAGCCAGACTCAGTCTCAATTTAAAAAAAAACAAAAAACCAGGCCAGGCGCAGTGGCTCATGCCTGTAATCCCAGCACTTTGGGAGTCTAAGTAGTGCAGATCAGGAGGTCAGGAGATGGAGAGCATCCTGGCCAACATGGTGAAACCCGGTTTCTACTAAAAATACAAAAACTAGCTGGGAGTGGTGGTGTGTGCCTGTAATCCCAGCTACTCAGGAGACTGAGGCAGGAGAATTGCTTGAACCCAGGAGACAGAGGTTGCAGTGAGCCGAGATCATGCCACTGCACTCCAGCCTGGATGACAGAGCAAGACTCTGCCAAAAAAAAAAAAAAAAAAAAAGTCACTAGAGATTTTCCCACTGTATATTTTATGGACATTATCATCATGACCTAACTTGATTTCCCTTCATGACACTCCTTCCTTCTGGAAACATTTTCTTTCCTTGCCTTCCGTTTTTACTCTTTTGGTAGCACTTCTCCATCTCTAACCACTCCCTCTCCATTGCTTTTAAAAGCTCTCTTATTTCTCCCAGCCTTTAAATATTGGTATCCTACAGGAATAGGTGTAAGCCCTCACTCTTTTCCCACTGCACACACTCTATACTTGACCACTGCATTTTACATGACTTTGGTTAGCATCTTTATGCTCTGGATTTCCCAATATATATCTCCAGCCCTGATTCCTGCTCCTGGGATCCAGGCCACGTAATTAACTACCTACAGATCATCTCCACTTGAATCAATAAAAATCAATAAAGGCCAGACACAGTGGCTGAGGCCTGTAATCCCAGCACTTTGGGAAACAGAAGCGGGCCAATCACAAGGTCAGGAGATCGAGACCTAGAAAGCTCTGAATATCAGGCTTGTTGAAGTGTACAGCCTCGTTTTTAGGCCATTCCCTCAATCGCCGTATCCACCATACAAAATAAAATACATTGCCGGGCGCGGTGGCTCAAGCCTGTAATCCCAGCACTTTGGGAGGCCGAGGCGGGTGGATCACAAGGTCAAGAGATCGAGACCATCCTGGTCAACATGGTGAAACCCCGTCTCTACTAAAACTACAAAAAATTAGCTGGGCATGGTGGCACGTGCCTGTAGTCCCAGCTACTCAGGAGGCTGAGGCAGGAAAATTGCCTGAACCCAGGAGGCGGAGGTTGCAGTGAGCCGAGATCGCGCCATTGCACTCCAGCCTGGGTAACAAGAGCGAAACCCCGTCTCAAAATAAAATAAAATAAAATAAAATAAAACACATTCAAGCCCTGGAATTTACTTCTTCTTCTCTCTTTCTTCCTGCCCCCCAACCTGGGCCTTTTAGTATTCCTTATTACTGGACAAATATAATATTAATAGCTATCTTTGCATAAATATTTTCTGTGCACAAGACGTGTGTGTGTACATATGCACATACACATTTTTTCTGCATTGTCAGATAAAATGTGTGTGTGTGTGTGTGTGTGTGTACATGCATTTGGTCAGACATACATATATTTAGTCTTACAACAACCCTGAAAATTAAGTACCATATCCGATTTTACAAATCAACAAAGCCCCTAGATTTATTTTTCCTGGAGCTAGGAAGGAGTGGGGCCAGAATTTGGACCGAGGTCTATTTTATTCCAAAGCCCTCCTTTGAGTCATTATGCTCTATATGTTAAGAGCTAGAGGTAGTTGAATTTTATTAACCATTTACTATGTGGCAGACATTACGCTAAACAGATATTAGCATGGACTTTTCATGGATTGTATTTAACATACATAAAGAAATCCATGCACTCAACGTAGAGAATAGTGGTATCCTACAGCAATTTAAGACCCTGACTTTGGAGATAGATAACATAATATGTGACCTTGAGCAAATTACTAAAACCCCCTAAACTTCACATTCATCATCTGTCAAATGGAGCAATAAAGTACACCTCAAAGGGTTTTGTGATGATTAACGAATCAATTTTTAGGAAGCACTTACAACAGTTTAGCATAGAGAAAGAGGTCAAATTATGCCAGCTGTAATGTTTCTTTTGTCATCTAATCTCACAACAAACACACGAAGTGGGTACTACTATACAACTATCCCCTTTTCTTCAGCTGCCGTGTCTTTTCCCACCTCCTGACTTCCACACACGAGTCTCTCCAGAATGCCCCTGCTCCTTCTTGCTACCTGATAAACTCCCACCTGCCTCTAGGACTTCCCCAGATATCCTTTCCTGCACTTTGGCAGCAGGCCTGGTTGCTCCTTCCTCTGGGCTTCCAAAGCACTTTGTATGAACTTTGATAGAATTCTTTGAAAGCAAGGAACAAGAATCCACTCAACTGTTTACTATGCCATGACCAGCCTCAGGCCCACTTCTAAAGTCAAATCTAGTGACTGAGGAGAGAAACGTAAGGTCTATTCCAAGAAGTAGAAATGTATACACCAAAACCACTGCAATAATGTATGTATTTTCATCAGCAGTAACCTGAAAAACATTTATGGGAGTAGATTCTACAGGCGTTATATAGGAAAAGATAGAATATAATAACAGGTCAGGCTAAACTTAAAATGTGAATGTCCTTACCTGAGATTCTCATCTTAATGTGCTAAATTGAGCAACTGGGCTGAGCACAGTGGCTCACCCCTGTAATCTCAGCATTTTGGGAGGCTGAGGTGGGTGGATCACCTGAGGTCAGGAGTTCAAGACCAGCCTGGTGAAATTCCGTGTCTACTAAAAACACAAAAATTAGCCAACTGTGGCACATGCCTATAATCCCAGCTACTCAGGAGGCTGAGTCAGGAGAATTGCTTGAACCCAGGAGGCAGAGGTTGCAGTGAGCCAGGATTGCACCACTGTACTGTATAGCCTGAGTGACAGAGTGAGACTCCATCTCGAAATTAATTAATTAATTAATTAATTTAAAAATAAATAAATAAATAGAGCAA